AGGATGTCAGCAGAGTGGAACCTTGTCCTAGATAAAGATCAGGGAAAATGTGCCCTTTGGCAGAGGTCAAGTTTTCTGCAAGTGACTTGGAGCTGTGGTTTGGGACATTTCAAGACGGACTGAACATTAAGTGAATGCTCTGTTAAATATTTTAAGTTGTTGCAATTTGTGCAGGAGATTATTTGAAAATATTTGTTAAAAAAAAAAAAGAATTCCTTTTGTTTTATAGTGTGTTTAACAATGTGCTATTGCTGTTTTGTTTGCCTTTAGGGTTCTGTTTGGAGTCCGACTACGGGTTTCTTTCTCTCATAGATTTCTATTCTCTTAGAATTTTCTTTAGAAATTCTAAGAGAACCTCACTTTTGAGGTCCACTGAAGTTAGAGTGATTAGTATCACTGTACTCACCAATGGGGGAGCTGGGCCTGGACTCTTGGTTCATGAATGTTGCAGAAGTGTGTCCCCTCTGAAAGTTGTCCTTCGGGAGGCCCAAAGCCATCGAGATGTAGCTACAGCTTCCCCATCGAGGTGTAGCTCTTACACCCACCAGAGACTCGGTGTATGTGCCAGCTCTCTCTTGCGAAGTGCCCTTAACGCGTCTCTGGTGTTTCTGGTCATGTCAGACCTCCTCCTCCTCTCCTCTGTCATAGGAGCTTTGGAACCACACAGCTTTGGGGAAGCAAGTTCTTCCATCTGTCTGAGAGAGGCCAGGCCATGGTTAGCCTGGTATTGAGACCTGGCAGGGCGCGGCGTGTGAGGGGAGGACTCTGTGGATGTCAGCAAGACTGTCCCACACCCAAGAAAGGGCTGATCCATAGTATTTAGAGAACAATGCAGCATAGCGATCAAGGATACAGTCTCGAGCCAGACTGCTGGGGCTCGTGTCCTAGCTCTGCCAGCTAGTATCTGCTGTCTTTCTGAACCTTTTTTAAAATCTGTGAAAGGGGCATAATAATAGCACCTACCTCATAGGGTAGTTGTAAAGATTGAATAAATACTTGTAAAGTGCTTAGAGCAATGCTTGTCACATAGTAAATGTCCGGTAATTCTCTGGTTACTTACATTAGTTATAAGTATGATTACTTACACATTTAAAATGGAATCCAAGCCAAGTTTCCTTGGATTGTCTGTTTTCTCTTTTCTCTGAGACCATTTATTAGAATATTATCTTGCTGGATTTAAATGAGAGATCATCCCATGAACTGTTAGGATCCAGAATAGGAAAAAAAAAACAACCAAAAACACAAAACTGTTCTTTAGAGAAACACCAGAACCACAAAAGTTAATAGAAGTTAAAAATTAAACTCCTACAGTTAAGTTATAATCAAAACTGGAGGCCTGCTGCACGAATTCATGCATGGGTGGGGTCACTCAACTTGGCCGATGATCAGGATGATCAGTGCCATCTCGCTGGGGGGAGGGGCTGCGGGAGGTTGGCTGCGAGAGCACACTGACCACTAGGGGGCAGCTCCTGCATTGAACGTCTGCCCCCTGATGGTCATTGTGCATGATAGCGACTGGTTGACCCGTTGTTCGGTCGTTTGGGCTTTTATATATATAAATAGTGCATGTCAGTTATTTTGCTGGGTAGGTGTAAGCTAGATGAAGAATGATGAGACTCTAATAATTTGTTATAAGAACTACTTTGGAGTGAAGAACCTCATGTATTATGCAATTATGTTGAAAAGGAATAAAATTATAAATTCTAAACAGCGACACTCATATACATGCCAACCATGGCTGGCCCCTATTTTTGAGATTGTATGCAGGTTGTACTTGCAGGTGTAGGAATTCTAATTGACTTTATTTCGTAGTTGCAATGGTCCCAGGATAGTGTTTCATTAAGTGTGAGTTCCATTAATATTTATATGTATATTTTAAATATTTTATTGATTTTTTACAGAGAGGGAGGGAGAAGGATAGAGAGTCAGAAACATCGATGAGAAAGTAACATCGATCAGCTGCCTCCTGCACACCCCCCAATGGGGATGTGCCCACAACCAAGGTACATGCCCTTGACCGGAATCAAACCTGGGACCTTCCAGTCCGCAGGCCAACGCTCTATCCATTGAGCCAACCAGTTTCAGCTAATATTCTATATATTTTAGGAAGGGAGATGAGTGAGAAAATTCCATGATCAAAAAAGTTTGGGAAACTATTTGAGTTCAATAAACTAGTTTCTTTGGAGTTACTTTTTGGAGCCTTTGATATGCTAATGTGTGCTGTGACACTCCCAGGGACATGTGATCTGCTGTATTTTTCTTACTTTTTGGACCAGTATCTGGTCTGTCAACTTCCTGCAGGACATCAGTGCTCTGGAGCACACTTTGGGAAATGTAACCTTAGAAGCACTGCTTTCTTTTTTCACCTTTTGTCTTTGGTGAATCCTAACAAGGTGAAGCTAAACAATAAGCTGTAGACAAAAGTTGGAGGAAGGCCTCCTGGATTTGAGGCTACATCCTAAATGAATGATCACTATCCATACTGACAATAGAGGAATATGCAAATTGACCAGGATACCATCACATAATGACCAATCAGGAAGCGAGTGGGCCGCTGCAGAAAGCTCTTAGCATGCCTGTGCTGGGGGTCCAAAGGGCATGGAGGGGAAGGGAAAGCAGATAGACAGTTAGGGGGATCAGGCTGGCAGCGGGGAGCAATGAGGCAGGGCAATCAGGTCAGGAGGGGAGAGCAGTTAGGCAATTAGGGGGATCAGGCCTGGAAGGAAGAGCAGTTAGGGGGATCAGGTTACCAAGGGAGAGCAGTTAGGGCCATCAGGCTGTCAGAGGAGCAGTTAGGGGCATAAGACAGCCAGATAGGTGAGCAGTTAGGAGCCAGTGGTTCCAGATTTCGAGAGGGATCCCAGATTGGAGAAGGTACAGGCCAGGCTGAGGGACCCCCCCTCTCCGGTGCACGAATTTCATGCACCTGGTTTCTAGTATAGAAATAGTCATTACTAATACCTGTGGAGTGTTTACTATGTGGCAAGCACAAAGCTACTTATTAACTAAGTTAATGCTCTCAACAACTCTATAAGGTAGGTAACATTATCCCTACTTATAGATGAGGAGACTAATAGCCAGGGGGCTTAAATAACTTGCCCAAATCAGGCAACTAGAAAGGGGTGAAGCTAGAATGTGAACTTGGGTACCAGAGCCTGTGTTCTTACTTTTTCTGCTGCACGACCGTGAGCTTATATGTGTGGTTTGTATGCTGTGTGCGTGCATGGAGCAGGGTGGTGGTCGTATTCCTGGATGAGAGAAGAGCATGAATGCAGGAAATAATGACTTCCGTGTAGCTGGAGGTCATGGGGCAAATGGTAAGAAAGGAAACTGTACAGGTACGGATCCCGAGGGCCTCATCTGTCACACAAAGGAATTTGGGATTTCTGTAGTGGAGACACTTATTCTTTCCATGAGGTTACCTTAACAACTTTGGTAAGCAAACTGCTAAGAGTAAAATAGTCCAGACAGTCAGGTGTGAGGCTAGGAATGCACGCACTCTTACATTTTGCAGGAGGGCTAGTTGTCACTGACTTCCGCCATCCCAGCTAGCTGCCTTGTGGAACATATACCCAGCGCAGACAATAGACACAATTATGCTTGAGTTGCACATAATCCTCTCCCTGTACTTATGCAGTTTTTGAGGGCATATTTTGTATCCCTTTTAGAAGTGGACTAAATGCTAATAGAATGTGACTCAAGAAAATGGATTTATGCATCTCATAAATATTTAATGGAATTTTAAGGTCTTAAGGCTTGATCAAAGAGGTAAAAGTGGGGCTTTCCTGTCTCCTAATAAGACTTAACATGCTATTTGTTTTCTAATGAAAAAGTGTTAAAATATATGTCTTTTCTATGATCCAAATATCTTTAGTTCTTGAGTTTGAACTTAGTAATGACATTTTGGGAAGCAAGAAACTTACTGAAAAATTATCAGAATCTACGTGGTTTCTGGCTTTGGATTTGGATAGCGAAGAATACATGAAGGCCTTGTACATTCTTTCTTTTCCCAGAGGAGGTGAGAGCACCTCCTATGGCTAGATTTCTCTTCATTAAGAAGTGGCAAGATTGTGACTTCACGAAGGTCATGGAGCAGGTCACTATAACAGGACTAGGAAAAAGGGATTCATCTGAGTCCAGGAATCTAGTCACAAGGCCCCCTGTGCCCTAAATAATTAGGGTCTGTCAGCACTTCCTTATAGTGTTCAGCGAAATGAACAGGAGCCCTCAGAAATCAGTGGTAACTATGGGAACCTTGACTCAGGGAATCCCAAGGGCTTGACGTAGACTCTTTGTAAGGGTAGAGCTGAGTATGTTTCTGATACCTTTGCAATAAAAACCCTGTGCAGTAGAAAGAGTTAAACTTAATTCCAGAAAGAATTTTTAACTTGATTAGTTATATTTTGAAGAAATGTAATATGGCCCCCATTCACATTTTTTATATCCCCTTTTTGTTTCTGTGAATAATTGTCTTGCCTTGGTTACTTGCTACTTTCTTAAATACTCTTTACATTGCACAAAAAGCATTAGCACGGGGATGGGGAGCGGGGAGCAAATGTTGCAGGGTATGTGCAGGTGGAGAGGTGAGGAAGAGAAGAGGCATCCTAAGTGCCTTCGAGGCTTGTGCATCCCTGCTGTGGCCCCACAAGCTGAGACTCGGTGCTGGATTGTGTGTCAGACCTAGCAGTTAGCATGCAGACTGGAATAGGTGCGAGTTTTTCCATTTGCATCGATGGGATTTAATTTTTCTTTCTTTTCTAAAAATTTACTTGTTTATAAATTTATAAACTTGACTGTTTTACTTACATATTATGAAAGTTATAAAGCATAAGATTTGAAGTCAGAAATGACAAGATAAAAAATAGAGACATTTTCCCCCCTAATATTTTCTCCTTTTTTATTTTTTAATTACAGTTTACATTCAGTATTACTTTGTATTAGTTTCAGTTGTGCAGCATTTGATTTTGTGCATGGCATAATTTTATACTGTTTATCCTTAGGTGGGTTTGCTGAGTTCTCCCGTTGTTTCCCTGGCCTCTGTGAAGGAAAATCCACTCTCGTTCCTACCTGCATTTCTCAGCCGTGCTTACCGGTTGCCAACATTGGGCCAACCCGAATTCTTCCCAATCTTTATCTTGGCTGCCAGCGAGATGTCCTCAACAAGGTGGGTGCTTTGAAAATGTCCTTCCTGCCGGGACTGGTTTGGCTCAATGAAAATGTCTTTCCTTGCAGGGTTTGTTGTTAGCAGCTGGAGAAACGGCCATTGCCCATTCGCTACAGGGCCAGACACACCTGGCTTCCAGAAGGATGTACACCCTCCTCAGGGTGACGCCTGGCGAGCGCTCACATCGTCGTTGGAGTGCTGTTCTGTTCGATGTTAACGATGGCCATAGGAAACCTAAACTGGTGTCACATTTGTTTCTTCCTCTTAGGTCAAAGAGACCTGGAATAGGACAAGATTTTTCAGAAGTTTAGCCTTATTTTCTTAGTGCATTCATTTTTCTATCTTAATAATTGGGCACTCTCAGGATTGCTAGTACTTCCTAAAGTCACATTCAGAAATGCGTGTGCCTATTGCAGCACACTAGAAAGGGACTTGGGTTGGGCTTGGGTTAGGGAAGGACATCCTGGTGATCGCTGGCTGGAGGGCAGGGGATGTGGTAAAACGATGGCAGGGACAGGGATAAGGGTGCACTGCAGGCTGCACTGTCTGATGCTCAGTGGAGCAGTTTGGTTGAGAGAGCAGAGGGAACTGCATAGTTTCTTGCTGGAAAGGACTGGGGCTGTACAGAACAAGGATGTGCCCAACAAAGCAACCACGTTGTTGAGGCTGTTGTACATAATGCTACAAGCATAACAGTAGTAGAAAATTTGTCTGTCTCCACAGCTTATGTCCTCTTAACCAGCAGTGGTAGGACACAGTGCTCTAAGTGCCCAGAAAAGTGGTTTTTCTCTTAAAACCTCTAATTTACATCACCTCTAGGTGCAAAAGCAATCAAAGATATTCATTCAGCTGTTGGCGATTTTCAAGTGCTTCTTTGCTAACTGAAGGCTGAACCTTAACATTTTCTCCCTGAGGAACTGAAAGGGTCGGGCCGCCTGTAAAAGCAGCGTCCAGATTGGCTTCATTAATTAGCCAGGGGAAGCCAGGCTTTCCAGGAGGAAAAGCACCATCACTGGGCAGCCAGGAGGCATTCCATTTTTATTCTTTCCTTTTTTTGTTCTCAAAACTCCTGCCTCTTTAAAATTTTACCTCGACATTGTTGTTACTCTATCAGCTCTGACTGTGAGATCTGCCTGTTTGAAATTTGATAGTTGGTGCTTGTACTGAGCCTTTCTGGTGAGGTCACAGTGCCTTTGAGCATGTGATGCTTATTAATTCTCTTTTAGAGATAAGCAAACTATGTCACAGAAAGCAACATTAATTTCCTAAAGTCACATGCCTCCCTAGGGCAAAATAGGAGATGCTTTATTTAAAATCTCAGATCAGCCGAGACCGGTTTGGCTCAATGGATAGAGCGTCGGCTTGGGGACTCAAGGGACCCGGGTTCGATTCCGGTCAAGGGCATGTACCTTGGTTGCGGGCATATCTCCAGTAGGGGGTGTGCAAGAGGCAGCTGATCGATGACTCTCTTTCATCGATGTTTCTAACTATCTCTCTCCCTTCCTCTCTGTATAAAATCAATAAAATATATTTAAAAGAAAAAAAAATAAAATCTCAGATCAGAAAATAAATGAATATAAAATTTCTGGTTAGGGACCCTGTCCACAGTTACCCCAGGGAAATGCAGCCAATCAACCAGCAGGTAATTTCACAAATCATTGTGTTACAGATCATTTTCATTATCTTTAATCCTAGATTAAATGTCACATTCGTTTTTCTACCTACCTTTTCTGGGTCTAACAAATGAGTTAGTTAACAAATATGTGAGTGCCCCCAACGTGAGATCAGTTAAACTGTAGTAGAGGACAGGGCAACAGTTTCCTCATTTTCACCGGCTTCTGAATGTGTACTAAAGTAGATCCATTGAGAGGAAGTGGTCATAGGAAGTTCATGGGTGAAACAGTTGGGGCAGGGAGTATAGAATACTGTCAGAAAGCTGCTTTTTAAAATACTTGATTAAGGAGTGGTGAGAAGGAAAAATGCACTGGTAGGCTGGCTCACTCTGAAAGTGGTGCATAGAGGTTTGTATCTAACTTCCACATTCATCGCTGAGAAGAGTCTTGGTGCTGAAGGGGATTTCAGAGATCATCTAGTCATCCTCCCCCATTCGATAAATGAGGAAGTTGATATTCCACAAATGTCAAGTGAATTCCCTGTGATGAGTTTTAGAACCAGATTGGCCTCTGATCTTCCTTCTCAACTCTCTGTTTTAAATTTTCCAGGAGAAATAATATGCTTCTTGAAGTTCTCCAAAGATAAAGGTTTTATAATTTTTACTAATAGTACATTCCTTTTGGTTAAAGTTCAGAAAGCACCCGTAAGGCCACTAATCTTATCAGTCTTTTTTTTTTTTTTTTTTAAAACCATGTTAGGGAATTTATAATATTTTGTTGGGAGGGTTATTTATCATTTAAAATGTTAGGCTTTTTATGTGATTATGCTTAATCCTCCTAATAGCATCAGGAGGTAGGTAAGCACAAACCCAAGATTTTGTGGCTAGGAAGTCATTGGCTTTAAAGCTAGTCAGTGTTGCCGGACTGGTTTGGCTCAATGGATAGAGCGTCGGCTTGGGGACTAGGGGTCCCGGGTTCGATTCCAGTCAAGGGCATGTACCTTAGTTGCGGGCACATCCCCAGTAGGGGGTGTGCAGGAGGCAGCTGATCGATGACTCTCTCTCATCGATGTTTCTGTCTATCTCTCTCCCTTCCTCTCTGTATAAAAATCAATAAAATATATTTCAATAAAGCTGGTCAGTGGCAGAGGTCGAATTTAAACCCAAGCTACTCTGACTTTAAGTCCTGTGTTTATAGAACATCAGAAGTACCCATCTTCTGGAAAATGGAACTTTCTATAATAGGCTACTACGAAGGATTGACAAATCTTAACAGTCTATTGAATCACAACTGAGATTCTCATTCTCTGCTTTTTCCATATATTCTATGCCAGCATTGCCCAAGAGAAATGTGATGCAAGACACATACATAACTTAAGAATTTCCAATAGCTTTATTTAAAAAGTAAAAGGAAGCAGGTGAAGTTAATTTTAAACATTTTATTTATCACAACATATTATTTTAACATGTAATCAATATAAGGGTTACTGAAATGCTTTACATATTTTGTACTAAGTCTATAAAATCAAGCACGTATTTTACAGTTAGTTACTGCACATCTCAGTGTGGACAAGCCACGTTTCAGGTCTCAGTAGCCACATGTGGTTTGTGGCTGCCCTACTGGCCAGTGCAGGCCAGAGCTCTCAGCGTGCATTAATTTTTGCTTATGTCTCAAAGACATGGCTCTTTGAAGGCCATAAGAAGTCATTGGTAGCAAAAAGAATACTTTTATTTTCCTTTTCCCCTCACAACTGTACTTTTGTTTCTTACAGTATGTTCTTTATCCTCTAGTCTTTGTACTAGAGTTGGACCAGGAATAGCTTATTGTATTGAAAGTAGTTTGCTGATGCCCACTCAGAACTGAGTGGGATTTGAGCAAGAATCTCTAGTGACTATGTAAAAGACAGAAGTTCTTGATCACTTCTCTCCCTTATCCTTAAAAATTTCACATGGAGACGTCTGCTTCTCACTTAACTACATAAAATGTGTGACGGAATTTCCTATTTCAAGTAATTACTAAACCAGAGCTGTGCCCATAGTGAGCCCTTCAGCCTCTTCACAAAGCAGCTCTGCTGTCCCCTCCTCCTGTTTTAAGCAGTGTGCTGCCAGCATTCTTTGTGCAGCTTCTGCTTTCAGTCCTTCCCATGCAAAACTGGGGTTGCTATGCTACCTTCCTGTTCTGCCCGCCACAAGGACTCCTGCTACTTTCTCTCTTGTTTTCCTACTAGTATAAGGGTTAAGCCAGTGGTCGGCAAACTCATCAGTCAACAGAGTGGCAAACAGCGGCTCTCGAGCCCCCTGTGGCTCCCAAGCCAGACACAGTATAGCCAGATGCTGCTTTCAGGTTTCTGTGTGACCTAGGAAGACAAAGGTCATTAAAATTTTTGTAAATACTCAGCATTTATTCAGTGTCTACTATGTGTAACACCACAGTGCGCACATTGGTTAGATAAGACCTGTGTGGCAGGCGCCGGAGTCCCACAGTCCTTTCACCCAGCCAGGGGGCGGCAGGCACGGAGACACAGCGACATTAAAAGTGTGGATAAAGCATTTAGCCTGTGCTAATGATCAGGAAGATTACTCTAGTGTGTGTTCAGTTTATGTTTTGGAGGGGAAAACACTGCAAACTTCAAGGCTTTATGTTATCACGATGAGGACTGACCCCTGAGCAGTGGTGACCGAAAATGGAGAGAGAGGATAAACGGTTTTGGGGGATGGTGGGGGATGATGGGGGGGGGGGGAGCGGGTGATACCCAGAGAATCTGATACCCACTTATTTGGATGAGGGGATTGTGAAAAAGAAGAAAAGTCAAACAATCCTGTTTTCTAGCTCAGGTGTCTGGGTGGATGTTGTTGCCACAAACCAATTTCAGAGAGAAAACAGGAATTTGGGGCAGAGAAGGGAGAAAGATAATGTGTTGAGCTTTTGACATTTTGAGTTGGAAGGGCCTGGGGAATATCAAATAGAGATATCCAGTAGAGTTGGAAATATGGATTAGAAATTGAAGAGGAATTTAAGAATCATCAGGATGTAGAGTTGATAATTATCTTTGGAAATAGATTCAGCCTTTAAAATGAATTTTTAGAGTGAGAAGATCGCCTAGAACTGTCCTAGATCTAGAACAACCAGCATGTTCAGTTTGGAAAGAAAATACTCTTGTTGTATGTACATGCATTCTAACGTCATAGTAAATTTGTGGTTTTATATTCTTTGTTCTACTTGGCTCTCTAGTAACAAATGTCTGAGCTTTTAGGAGGGTTAATGGAAAAGAGAATATGAAGAACTTTGTCCTCAACTTAATTGAGAGTTGACTGTGTTAATAATATATGACTTTCAAGCATACTATTTTAAACAGCCTTTTTTTCCCTTAAAAAAATTCTGGTTTTATCTTAAGTCTTTTTTATAAATGTCACCGGGTTTTTGGATTTTACTTATGGAATGAACTCTGACCAGTTTCTAGGAAACTAGTATTGAATGAACTTTGATTATTTCAAGGAAATTAGTAATTTTTATCCTTGGTTAAACTTTATTCTTTCAAAAGGGTTATGTTAGTATGTCATTAGTCTTTTTAATTGCTCTTTCCCTCCGTAGGAGCTGATGCAACAGAATGGGATTAGTTATGTGTTAAACGCCAGCAATACCTGCCCAAAGCCTGACTTCATCCCGGAGTCTCACTTCCTGCGTGTGCCTGTGAATGATAGCTTTTGTGAGAAAATTTTGCCCTGGTTGGACAGATCTGTAGATTTCATTGGTAAGTAGCTCAAGTAATATTACTGTTTTTTGGATGATAGTCTCATGTATAGGTGTACCCCCTCCACCTACCCCCTTTTTTCCTTTAGAGAAAAGAAATCTATTTCAGAGATTTCAAAGGTGTGAACACAACACATGATGCTGCTTATCTCATTCAGTGGCCAAGGTGCCGTGTGTGCCATCTCTCCCCAAGAGACTGGCCTTCTGACATTCTAGCAAACAGCACTACCACGGTTTAGCCTGATAGGACTGTGATGGTGTATGCAAGTGTTTTAAAACCAGTTAAACTTTCAGGGCTACATTTCTTACCACTTTTTCCAAAACTGTAAAATACTGTTGGAAACTGGCGACTTTCCTCAAACTGTTTTTGCCTGGCTGTTGTATTTTTCCCTGAAAAAAGTAAAATCTTGTGAAAACAAATCCATTATATTTGACATCTTTATGTTATAAGATTTCTATGCCTCAGTCTGAGTGCCAATAATTTTAAGAAGTATTGGATCTAGTGAAATTCACACACACACACACACACACACACACACACACACACACACACACACTTCTTTGGTGTTAACAGTGACAGGATCTCATCTGTCCCATATGGTTAATCCTGGAGCCACCCTTCCCACCAACCCGACTCCCAGCTTGAGGTACTGTTGTGTCATTTTGTGCTGCATGACCAGGTCTGCTGGTGCTGTGTTTGCAGCGTGATCCTTGAGGAGAGGGGACCAGAGGAGAAGCACTGCTAGCTCTTGAACAGCACCACAGGGCTGACTCTTAATGTTCCAGATGAGGAATTTTTGTTGTATCCTCCTCCTCCCTCTCCCCCAATCAAGGTACATAAATTTGAGTACTCTAATCCACCATTAAATATTCTGAATTGGTTATTGTAATTTTTAAAAAAGAACTTTTAAAAAGTGAAATTATGTAAATAAAGCCTCTCACTCTATATACTTCCTCTCTGGGAGACATTTTTAAGAACTCTGGGTGATTCTGAAAGAGTCCTCTTTTTTTCAAGATTCTAGATTGCCAAGAGTTTTTCATCTTTAGTTAGGATAAATCTGTGAAACATCTTAAAATAAATGCTCAGCTATTTCATCTTAAAATAATCACAAACAAACCTCCCAAATTAATCCCTCCCATTGTACTTCTAGGAAATATTCAGCATATCATGTAATTTTTGCCTCTTTAAAAGATAACAATATGGTTAATGTGCTCATTGCCTTTCACACTGGTCCGGAGATGCTTAGCTCTAATTTCAGCTAAAAATAAAATTTCATAATCTGTGTGAGAGAGCCTTTCTCTGTTAAATTGTGACAATGTCTAAGCTTTAGGAGGATTAATGGAAAAGAGAATATAAAGAACTTTGTCCTAAACTTATTTTCTTTCAGGGGAGATGTTGGTGTCATCCTGCCACTTTTAATTCATATGAAAGGAACGTCAGCATGTTCCGAGTTGGTTAAACACACACATACATAATGTGATTTATTTGTAGCACCCAGTCATTCAGGGAAAACTCCCTAGTCCCATTCTGGAATTAGCTGTTTTTAAAATTATGAGTTTTTTCCCTTAGATCTGTACTCTGTAATCTCAGTGATTAATACCTTCATGTTAACCTTTGGATCTTGATGTCCTCATAGGTTCCCCTTTACCCTTTACATCTGTTATTTTCTCGCCCTTTTTTAACTAGATTTCAGCCCTGAAGTACAGTGGTGGTAACCTACTTTTTAAATTTCCAGTTTTCACCATCATGCCTACTTGTCCCTCATTCAGGAAACCACAGAGGCTCCTTAATTGCCCCCGAGTCCTTAGCCAGATATCCCCAGACCGTCCAGCACCTGCTCCCCACCTCTGAAACCCCCTTTCTTCCTGCACCGCTCACCAGACAGTCTTCTGAGCAGTCTTCCCACAGAGCTTTCTTACCTACATTTCCCTTCTCGCTGCCAGCTCTGGGTCTATCACTTCCTTTGCTTTAAGACTCACTTCTGCCAAAAAATACGTTCTAATGAACCCCACTCCAGTATAACCACTTTTTAATTAGATTTTTAAAGTACATCATCAAAAAAGTTATAATTGTAAAAACAGTGTAAGGGGGATGCAGAATATTTGTAATACAGAGAAAAGGAAACCTATAACCTCTTTACACATCTGTTATCATGTTTGTTTGTTTTCCAATCTTTTCCAAATTTTTTCTGAAGATTGCTTTTTAAAATATGTATTAGTCAGCCAGACAGACAGTATTTACCGTGTGACCAGTGTTAAACCCTCTGGGGATAATTTTAGAAGCAAGACTCTCCTAGGTTCTTATAATGTAATTTTGAGATAATTATTTAAAATAATTAGAGAATACTGACAACATAAAAAAATTTAAACCTAGCCTACTTTCAATAAGAACTTTTTAAAGTAGTTTTTAAAAACTGATTTTAGAGCAAGGGAGGAGGGAAAGAGACAGACACCAGTGTGAGAAGGAAGCATCAGTTGCCTCTCACACATGCCTCAACTGGGGATTGAACCCTCAACCTGGGGGTATTCCCCAACCTGGGAATTGAATCCGCCACCTTTTGGTGTATGGGACGATGCTCCAACCACCCCAGCCACACTGGCCAGGACTCTAAAAAGAATTTGAAGCAGCTTTGAGATCAAACGACACATATTCACACACATTAAAATGGGACAAAGGGGGAAGTAGGAAAGGTACAATAAAATCTGAATCACAGTCACCCATTAAAATAAAGTGAAAACCTCAGCTTTGAGCTTCCTAGCAGCCAAGGCAAAGGGGAAACACTAAGAGCAGGATGGGCTGAATACTGTACAGCTGAGAGAAGGAAGAGAACTGTGTCAGTCCAGTAAGGCATGGGACTTCATGTGCCTGGTTTTGTATAATATCATTATACTAGAGGCCTGGTGCAGGGAATCTGTGCAAGAGTAGGCCTTCCTTCCCCTGGTTGCTGGCACCGACTTTCCTCCGGCACCTGGGATCCAGGCATGAGTCAGCATTTTAAAAGTAGCTTGATTTGGCTTCTTTTTATGTTGTGATGTGATACTGTTATGATTAAGTCTGTCTCTGCCTCCCTGCTATATAAATAGTAACATATGGTACATGGTTGAAATGAAGCTATTCTGAAAAATTTAGTATCTCATATCAATTATGTTATACACTAAAAGTAATACAATGTTATATGCTTATATCTCAAAACTGGAAAAAATTTATTATCTCTTAACTGGAAAAATGGTTGAAGTAACAGAAAGGATAGGAAAACAAAATATTAGCTAAATCTTAACATTTTGGGTGTTATTTTTTATGCTTTTCTGTATTTCTGAAATATTCTACAGTAAACAAGTAGAATCATGTAGTATTTGTGCTTTGGAAAGTTATTAAAATAAAAAAATATATAAAAAATACATGGTGAAAACTCAGTCAACCTGAGTTAGGGACATATTGCTTATTTAACAAAATGGTTGGACCTTCATTATAATGGTGGGGAAATTATCTTCCCGTCTCCTTAAAAGACTATGGGAAGGAAATACCTATGAATAGATGACATGTACTTTGATTTGTCAGATAAAAAGCACTAACCCTTCTTGGATTTGACTCCTACAGAGAAAGCAAAAGCCTCTAATGGCTGTGTCCTGGTGCACTGTTTGGCCGGGATCTCGCGCTCTGCCACCATTGCTATTGCTTACATCATGAAGAGGATGGACATGTCCTTAGACGAAGCTTACAGGTAACGACAGACTGTGTCTGTGTGATTGACTTTCCATATGCCCTGAAACATGGAGAGGTCTGAGGGTGGGCAACCACACTAAAGCATATTATCATGATTATTTTAGTTCCACTCTTTACTGGTGACTGGGTTTTTAAATGATCTTTTCAAAGGTTGGAAAAGAGCGCATTTTATAATTTAGTATTAATTCTACCAAACATATGTCAAATGTATCCTCAGCTACTCATTATGTTTATAACAGATCCAAACAGATCTCTGTCCTGTTATGTGAATTTTATTATATTTTCCCCTAATTGGGAAAGTATCATTTATTCTCACTTAAATATGAGGGGAATACTCCTCATAGAATTTCTGCTCTGCTTCAGCCTCTGTGTCTCCTTCCCTGTGAGGAAAAGCCCGAGACTGCGGCACTGTAGACTCAGAGTTGTCCGGCTCCCTGCACTGAGTAATACCTCCGCGGTCCAGAGCCGCCCAGGTTTTGCAGTGTGTGATTCTGACCTGGCTTCCCCTCCCCCTTTTCTCAAAAGGAGGGTGGCAGTGACCCTAGCACACTCAGGTCTGGGGTTTTCTTCAGTAACTGGAGATTGAGTTCTCTACATATCTTATTGGGGACCTTTTTTTTTCTTCCCAAATTGGGAAAAAAGAGAGAACAGCTTCCATTTGAGGAAGGAGATGGAGGAACTGGGTCCTCCATTTGTCTGCATTAACTGCTCACCCTTCATTCAGGCTTTCCTCCCTAAGTTCCTCCTGCGCCATGCAGACAAGGCACCCTTCCATCATGTACAAAGTGTTATTATGACGTCTCCACATTTATACTTGTTACAGTTGAGCCAGTTATTTCTGGCTGTTAATTTGGTGTAGGTTACTTGATTTCCAAGGAGTTGGTTTTTTTCTTTCCTGACCCAAATATAAAATTTCAGTGTGATTTCACTGCCGTGTGCTCTGAGGAATGTCCATGAGGGCCAGGGGCCACTAAAGAGTTTATCTACTGTCTCTTAAGAGTATTCATTTCCACAGTGAAACACAAAGAGTTATTACTAGTTTTGATCCCTCAATGACTCTTCTTTAACATGGTGGCGACCTTAGACCTGGTTTTGAATCCCAGTGCCATTACTTAATAGCTCTGTAATTTAGGCAAGTCACCAAAGGACCTTAGGTACCTACATGATGGGGATAATTATACCCACCTGACACAGGATGGTTTCCAGGACCGAATGAGACAGTGCTCTGTTAGCTTGATTCAGTGCATTAGCATAGTGCTCACTGTAGCTGTCGTGTCGTGTCGAAAACAAAGAAAAGGAACTCAGAAACGTTTGCTTTGATGCTCTGGCCATATGCTGCCTTGTCTTTTGGTCATAAATTTATAATGTGAACTGTCTTGAGGAAGTGACTTTGGGGATTTTGAGAAGACATGATATTGAGAAATGGAAGATGAGAAGTACAGTGGAGACTTGGTTCTCAAACTAAATTAGTTCCAGGAGGCAATTTGTTCAAGAAACAATTTGTTCAAAAATTAAATTAATAAATTCCAGACCTACAAACCCTCCTTATTACAGTACATATCTAATGTACTGTGTAATCTATAAATAGACACTTCTTTCTTAAATTTACCAATGTGCCCCTACTGGCCTTAAATGAATCACTTGCAGCACTCATTCCAGGGTTATCTTTCAGGGCAGGATGCAGCATATTGGCTTTTTCATATCAGTGCCTCTCCCTCCCCGCCACCTAACTGCTTTCTGTTTATCCAAATCAAATTTTTTCTATCTCTTCAATTGCCTGTGCTTGTTGTTTTGTGACCACTTGCATACCCTTAGCAACATCAGCCTTCTTGATGGCCTCTTTATGTTTTAAAATCGTGCTAATCAGTGATTTGCCAGCAACGAAAGCAAACAACAAAAACAAAGCAAGAAAATATTCACAGCACAATTTGCTTAGATATTATTTAAGGTTTAGCATCTTTGGGCATTGTCTCCTTTGTGACCTGAGATGCTTTTTGCCATGCGGGGTTATCAACATGAAAGGGTTGCTTGCCCCTTTGAGAACTGAACTGAAGTTTTGTTAGACAAACGAGACATTTTCTCTGTGAACAACTCGGTCAGAACCGAAATGTTTGAGATTGGAGACATTTGAGAACCGAGGTCTGACTGTAGCTGTTCCGCTGCACTCCTTTCTGATGGTGGCACCAAGGGTGTGGGGTGCTCATGGGGGGGAAAAGAACTATCTCATCAATTGCAATCGGAAGCTTTGGGTCCTTGAAAATAAGGAGGCTAACACTAGTGCTTTGGGGGACCTGGAAACCCCCTTTCTAGCATGCTCCAGGGACATGTTGTAAAATAAAGCTTCCCCGATGCAGAGCTCCTTCTTTTCTCTACTTGTCTGCCTGATTAAAACAGTCATCTTCCAAAGATATTGGGGAGAGTGAGTGTAATTATTCCCTACCTCATTTACTCACGATGCTTTAGGATAAAGTATAGTTATAAAATTCAAGGTGTTTTTTCTTCCCCTCTCTTCATAGATTTGTGAAAGAAAAAAGACCTACTATATCTCCAAATTTCAATTTTCTGGGCCAACTCCTGGACTATGAGGAGAAGATAAAGAGCCAGACTGGAGCCTCAGGGCCAAAGAGCAAACTCAAGCTGCTGCACTGGGAAAAGCCAGGTGAGCCTGTCCCTGTGGCCTCCGAGGCTGGACAGAGGGGCGAGGCGTCCCGCAGTCCACCCGGTGCCGGCTCTGCTACCTCAGAGGCAGCAGGACAGAAGCCTGTGCTTCCTGCCAGCGTGCCCAGTGTACAGCCACCTCTGTTGGAGGACAGCCCCCTGGTACAGGCACTCAACGGGCTCCACCTGTCCTCGGACAAGCTGGAAGACAGCAATAAGCTCAAGCGTTCCTTCTCTCTGGATATCAAGTCCATTTCGTATTCAGCCAGTGTGGCAGCATCCTTGCATGGATTCCCTGCATCCGAAGATACTCTGGACTACTACAAGCCTTCCGCCACTCTGGACGGGCCCAGCAAGCTGTGCCAGTTCTCTCCAGTGGAGGAAGTGTCGGAACAGACTCCAGAAGCCAGCCCAGATAAGGAGGAGGCCAACATCCCGAAGAAGCCGCAGCCTGCCAGGCCTGCAGACAGCCAGAGCAAGCGGTTGCATTCAGTAAGAACCAGCAACAGCGGTGCCACCCAGAGGCCCTTCTTATCGCCACTGCATCGAAGTGGGAGCATGGAGGACAACTACCACACCAACTTCCTCTTTGGCCTTTCCACCAGCCAGCAGCACCTTGCAAAGTCTGCCACTGGGCTGGGCCTCAAGGGCTGGCACTCGGATATCTTGGCTCCCCAGACCTCCGCCCCTTCCTTGACCAACAGCTGGTATTTTGCCACAGAGTCCTCTCACTTCTACTCGGCCTCAGCCATCTACGGAGGCAGCGCCAGCTACTCTGCCTACAGCTGCAGCCAGCTGCCCACGTGCAGCGACCAACTCTACTCCGTGCGCCGGCGGCAGAAGCCGAGTGACAGAGCCGACTCTCGGCGGAGCTGGCACGAAGAGAGTCCCTTTGAGAAGCAGTTTAAACGCAGAAGCTGCCAGATGGAGTTCGGAGAGGGCATCATGTCGGAGAGCAGGTCGCGGGAAGAACTGGGGAAAGTGGGCAGCCAGTCTAGCTTCTCAGGCAGCATGGAGATCATTGAGGTCTCCTGAGAAGAAGGACACTCTTGACTCTGTTGACAGTTTTGTTTTGTTTTCTCGTTCACAAAAATATTCCCTGTAAATCTGAAATATATATATATATATGTACATACATATATATTTTTGGGAAATGGAGCTATGGTGTAAAAGCAAAAGATGGGTCAACACAATTGTTCTCCACATCTGCATCTGAGAGACCAGCTAATATTTCTCTCAACAAAAGTGGAAGGGCAGATGCTAGCGTTCCCCGTAGACTGATAAAGCAGTTAGTTATATGCAGTGAATTGCACATCCTCTCGTTCTTACCGAGTCACGTTTTATTTGGTGTTGGAGGACAGAGTCCCCTTCCGTTTTCATGTTGTGCTACAGAGATGTCAAGTTCTAGTCCTTGTCCCGTCCTTCCATAGTGCACCTTAGCGCTGAGACTGAGCCAGCTTGTGGGCCGGGTGGGTAGACCTCCCCCCGCTAGGGACAGACCCCAATGGTAAGTCCAAGAGAAAGGGTCACATCCAAAGCTGATCCACAGATCCCAGCTCGCCGCACAGCCGAGTGACTCGCGCATCATCCTCCGGATCAGACCATTAGAGGCCTAGCCAAGATCTCCTTTAGCGCAAACCCAGTACCTCAGACAGAAAGCTGGGGCTTTCACCACTACCACGTCTGGGAGCCCGTCTTCTCAGCATTGTGAGTAGGTAGGTAGCTAGTCACGCTTTCCAGACCAATTCAAACTGCACAGACTTCCAGTTGGGCCTGGATGGAGGTAGTTAATACTTTCTTCCCTTCTCCTCAGCTTTATGAAGAAAGAGAAGGGTACCCACCTAGGATTCAGTGCAACAGCCAGGAGTCTGGCAGCATAATGATTTAAGCTAAGTTGGGAGGCTAAACAAGTCTACCTTCCTCTTTATAAACCTAAGAATCGTTCAGAACAGGGTTGGTAATCCTTGAAGGAAAGATTAACTTGGTCTAAAGCCAGATGTGAATTCACTTGGGCTGGTAGCACCTTCCGATTCTCAGCCAGAGTAGGCGTTTCCCACGTGTTCCATCGTACAGGCACCTCCTGTGAAACGTGTGGCCTTTTAAGGGGAACTGCCACGCGGGAGACAAACTGCAGACAGATGGAAGGCGAATGCTGAGGAGAAGCAGGAAACTTGCTTCTCAGTGGTATTTTCCCCCTCAGCCTGTGAGAACGGTGGTATTTCTATAACTTCCTCAGACTTTCCGATTTACTAATCGGGCTGAGAGCGACTTTAGTAAGCAAGGAATGTTCAGAATAAAACCGGATAGGGAGGTGAGAAGGGGCTGAATTTTGTGAGCTGAGTGGAAAGCCACAGTCAAGCTATTCTCAGAAAACATGCCCAACATTTCTTTCCTAGAAGGGACCTATAGAGACCTATGGGACCAAGGTGGCTTCTCAGTCCTTGGCCTACAGTCACTCTGGAATCAGCCCTGGCAGCTGAAATCAGGAGGTGCTGAGGACAAGTACACGAGTGATCGTACATCCCTGTTTTTCATCGTCCCGGCATAGGTTCCTGTCAGCTACAACACGGTCCTCCTTTGAAGCCTTAATTCACGTCAGCAGCTCTTTTGGGGAAGGGGGTGTGTGTGTGATCATTGTTCTTTACTGTAAGTGTAGCTAGTTGCTGACTCATATCTCAGGTTTTTCTGTGTTTGAGAAATGGACAGTCATTTGACTAGGATGTGACTTAATGTTTCCTATGGTGACTGCTAAAACCAGCATAGAATGACAATTTAAAACTGACTTGATCGTAACAATTAACATGACTGTTTGTGCACAGATAAATGTGCTATGGTGTGGGTTTAAAATGAAGGCAGGGAAGTAAATTGCATAGGGAGTGGGTGCATTACCATATTGAAGAAGTTCTGCTAAATCATCTTGAGTTAGTTTTTCTTATACTTTTACATTTTGGGTGTAATCAGACATTCTCAAGTTTTTACACAGTAATTTTTGATGTGTTATGTATACACATACAAATGTGTAACAGCTCACTGCTTTCAGAGTTTGGTCACAACTGTTGAACATTTTTAAAAAATTGAAAGCAAAAGTTCCAATGTTAAGTATGTTTCAGGAGGGTTGGGGCATTTGGTTTAGATATCTGGGCAGAAATTGGCTGTCATTTGAGATTTCTCTTGACCACGGTTCCCCTTCCTTCCTGTGAAGTGATGTAGACATAACACTACAACCTTTAGTCCTTGAACATTAATGTCAAATCATCAGTTCTTGGAATCAAGACTGCCATGCTGAGGGGGCAGCCTGGGAGGCAGGTCCTGGAGCTACTTGGGCGTCTGCAGACGACGTGGTGGCTGGCTCTCCTCAGCATGCGATCCCAGGGAAGCCTGGAACCTACTAGGATGATACAGAACAGTGATTTTTAAAGAGCAAAACTAGACTTCTGTGAGAAATGCTGAGAGATGGTTCAGGACATGTGTAAAGTGAGGTGGAAAGACTGTATAAATGTTTAATATGAATATAGTGTTCTTTTGGAGGAAGGCAAGCTGTTGAATGGTTTAATTGTGCATTTCTCATGTTGATGTGTCATGTGTGTTAATACGATGAAATAAAATCAAAACTGGTACCTGTTTATATATAAATATGAGAAAGGACCTCTCTTTGCAGCTATAAATTTGGTGGGGGCAGCAATGTCAAAATTGTGAAAGGAGCAGTGGTGGAACCTGTCCTGCTTTTATGTCAAAGAGGACTTAGCTCAACATAAAATGATGAGGACATCATATTATGTGCTCTGTCATTCACATGCAACACTGGATCATTAGCATTTTCAGCCAGCCTTCCTCCTTTCACGTTTATGCCAGATGCACACTACAGCATGGAAACCTCAGGCACGTGGTAAGTATTTGCTGGCTGACAAGTCCAGGGTAGGGATACACACCTGTGGTGCACTTTAACGTATATACATGGTGCTATACTTCTTGTAGGAAAAACTGAGGAGGAATAGTTATTAAAGATCTGTTCTTCATTGAGTGTGTGTGTGTGTGTGCGTGTGTGTAAAATTGATTTTAGAGAGAGGAAGGGAGAGAGGGAGAGAGAAACATCATTGAGACTGAAACATCATCATCGACAGAGGGCCTCCTGCATGTCCCTTCTGGGGATGAAGCCCGCAGGCTGGGCAAGTGCCCTGACTGAGTATTAAACCAGAGACCTCTTGGTGCATAGGTTGATGGTCAACCACTGAGCAACACCAGCCACATACTACATATTAATACATCTTAAGACCTCTGCCTGTAATGATGAGAATAAGAATTACAGGTGATGTCACCTAAGTTGGTTGAGAAAGCTTTCTGTGTTAAAGTTTGATTTAAGAAAATGTAAAAGAAAGAAGGCTTGGATTGGGTCAGGGAAGACTAGAAGAGTTGGGCTGGCTAGGACCGTGCAGAAAAACGGAGGTGGGTGTGTGACAAGCATAAAGGGAGTGTGGAGTGAATCTGCCTCAAGAGGGAAGGTGTTTCAGAGACAGGCTCGGGTGAGAAGGTAGAGACGTTGGGAAGGCCAGGCGGCCAGCCAGTTACTAGTTTAAATGCAGACAGATTTGGGGGAGGATGAGTAGGCTGGTGCTGGAGAACTAGTTTGGGTCCGACAACTAAAATGTGACCAGGCCTTAGCTTAAGGGGAAATCAGGTGTAGATGTGGAGTAGGGTGTGCATAGTGGGACTAGTTGACAACCTTTTTACCCTTAAAACCTTCACTGCCGTGTTATTTTTAGATACTGTCTGCTGTCGTTTTCGCTAGTACTCTTTGGCGTCTATAAAAGAAAGAGGGAAGTAAGTTACTTCCAGCATTCTGTGGGGCCCATTCATCCTGTACAGCATAATTCTTCTGGTTATCTCTCTAGAGCAGTGGTTCTCAACCTTCCTAAGGCTGCGGCCCTTTAATACAGTTCCTCATGTCGTGGTGACCCCCAGCCAGAAAATTATTTTCGTTGCTGCTTCATAACTATAATTTTGCTACTGTTATGAATGTGATGTAAATATCTGTGTTTTCCGATGGTCTTAAGGCAACCCTGCTAGCGGTTCTCAGCCTGTGGGTCGTGACATCAACTGGAAAATTACAGCACCTTCTAGGAAGATGTTTACAAGGCATATTGTTGCAGTTTCTGTGCACAGACATCAAGTTGGGTTTATGTAAAAACAGAAGCTTCATTCCTTCGGTTCCAGCTGAAAACTGGCGTTCGTTTTAAATGCTGTCCCACAGGAAATGCAGCCTGTGACCCTGCAGGAGCAGTGTCACTGGCAAAGGGCAGCTTAGGGTTCGTGGAGCTGTGGTCTGGGTCCTCTCTGGTCAGGGGAACTGTGACCGTTTCAAAGACTGAATTAGAAGTACTTGGTTCACAAAAGCATTCCACATACATCATGACTCACTACAGAATAGAAGGCAGTCGCAGGAATGTGTTAATGGGTGAAGAAAACGGAGTCATCAGGAAGTGCCATCACAGCTTCCAGTGGCCGAGACCGCCCCGAACAAATCTCTGAGAGCAATGGGTGCAGACAGCCCTGCCTCCCCGGGACACACTGGCTATGCTAGCAGCAGCTGGGTTTAGTTGCTGTTACGTTTTGCTATTTTTAAGTTTGAAATGTGAACCATTTATCTGGTTACCCTCCCCTTCCATAACCAAGACATTTGAATCCTTGTATGTGTGGAAGATGTTAAATGTTATTTGTTATAAATGAGTGAATGATGACATCTTCGGGGCACTGTGTAATGAAAGTGTGGGGGCAAGAAAAGTAAAGTTACTTTTCTCACGATTAAAAAACAAAACAAAACATCTTACACCTAAAAAGTCCACAAGAAGAAAATTTTGACTTCACAATCTTTAGTATCAACATTTTAAATAAATTCCTACTGAATACTATCTATCTGGGCTTAGTTGAGGTATAAACAAATTGGGAAGAGGATATTTTCTATCTAGAATACAGAATTTCCTCACAGCCCTCAATTTCTGACAATTCCTGGTTTTACTTTGGGACTAAGGGAGATACCGAAGCTGAATGAATTCCACAGATCACAGAACCAGGGGCATATGCCAGTCCCTCAGGGCCACTGGTTTATGTAACCTTGGAAACGGCATGGTTGTAATACCTATAACGTACAGGTACCTTTTTCATATGTCAGAGGGAAAGCAAAAATATACCTAGAGAATTCTTTAAAAAAAAAAAATAAACAACCCCCCCCCCCCCACCTCATTTCCTGAGTGCACTACTATATCTCAGGGTAGGTATGAAGTCCTCAAAACTCATTTAATCAAATATTTATACTGGCAGAGAATACAATTAAGTTACTAAGAATGAGAAAAGTCAGGGCAACAGAAATGAAATCTACATAATCACTTGATCTTAACCCCACAACTCAATTGTTGTAAATTTTAATTCACATAACACATGGAGTGAAGGCCACCTGCTTCAAACTAGTCCAACAAGGGGACTGCCTGTTAGGGGCCTGTTTGGCCGTGTTCATAAATACAGATGAATCAACTGATAAGCAGAACTTTCTTAAGAGAAGGGAGCTGCTGGACAGCTAATTTGTAATTAACAAAAAGAAGGAAAGACGCTTTGTTCCCTTGGGAACTCAGAATTTAAAGTCACTACACCAAGACCCAAGGCCACTGCTCAGAGATGACAGGTCAAGACGGTCCTCATCGCTGCTGAAGAGTAAAGTGTCAGAGTGCAGACTTGAAGTCTTAGAGTTGGAAGGGGCCTGGGAGCCCATCCACACCAGTTTATGTGGCAGGAGGTGGAAACTGAGGCTCAGGGAGATTTCAGTGACTTACTGAAGATCAAGACACTTCCAGCCAGGGCTCTTCCACAACTCCGCTGCCTCCTCACTCCTGAAACCTCCAAAGGCCAGGTAGGTTGTTGTATTAACCAGCAGACATCAAGCACACCTGTTACTTGAAATAACAAATCACCCAGATTCCCGGAATCCAGTGGAAAAAGTAAAACATTGAGTAGAGAAAGGACAGGTCACACCAAGTTATCAAAGAACCACTGGGAATGATGCAGACTAGGGAGGGCTGTTAAAGAACTGACCGTAAGCAGTGTGTGCCGGCAGCTGGTACAAGCATCGGTTCAGCTGTTGTTTCTTGGCCTGAAGTCACCGGGCAGGTGGCTGGGCAAGAAGCTGGATGTGGCCGAAACCGGTATGGCTCAATGGATAGAGCATCCGCCTGCGGACTGGGGGGTCCTGGTTTCGATTCCGGTCATCAAAAAGAAGGGAAGATACGTTATTCATGCATCAAGATCCTGACCACCTACAGGCATTATGACGACAAGCTTCCTCACCAGGGCGGCCCAAGTGAGGTTCAGACTATCAAACCTCAGAGGGAAGGTAGGGGAGGGTGGGGGAAAGAGGGAGAGAGCAACCAAAGGACTTGACTTGTATGCATGCATATAAGCCTAATCAGTGGTCACGGACAACGGGGGTGGGGTGGGGAGGGGTTTGGGATGGCAATGGGGGGATGAGGACAATTATGTGATACCATAATTAATAATTTTTTTAAAAGCTTGTCATCATGATGCCTTTGGGTGGTCAGGATCTTGATGAATGAATAACCTATCTTCCCTTCATTGATGGGCAGCTCTCCCTCCTTTCACGTGTTATACTTACTCAGACCACTCCACCTCCTCAGGCTGATGTCTCCCTCCACCTTACCAGGGCCCAGGGAGGCAGATATGGGTGCTGGGTCAGCTTGGGAAATGAGATGCCACCCTGGCCGCTTCTCTGGGCTCTGGTTTCCAACTTGTCTTCCCGGCTCAGAGGAAATGAACAATCTTGATATTATTTTGGTCCTTAGAAAACACCTAGAAATTGTAGGTGTTTTCCTATGTCTGAGTTTTTAAAAATTAATTTTTTTCCATTTAGCTTAGAGTACTCATGTTTCTTCTGTGTCATTCAGAATATAGTCCTGAATACTGTCCATTTTGGACTGTATTGTACTCCATTGATCTTTCTCTGCATATGGTTTCAAGTTGTTTCTGTCCTACAGTTCATTCTGGGTTCTACGAACCTTGCAAGATAGCACCTCATTACCACCCAAGATTTAAAAAATTGTAAGCTCAAGAAGCAGGTAAAGCTCACTGGGATAAGCGAGATCAACGTTCATCTTATCAACACACGGAAGGCTGTTTCTGGCCCCGAAGAAGCTGCTCAGGTTTGGAGGAGGAGAGGGAGCCCGGTGAGTCCTGCAGGACATCCTGGCCCAGGGCTTCCCTTCCTCCCCAGCTCTGACTCAGTTCCCCCGCCTGGACCTGTTCCCACACCCCATTCCTTTGCTTCTTCACTTTTTTCTTCCATTTGAACATTTATGACGGGTAAAGGACTGCACGAAGTGGCTCTGGTTACTCAAACTGCTTCATTTCCTAAACTTGCCCAGCTATCAGCAGCATTCTGTGGCCATTTCCATTCCCCCGGCGCAGGGTCTGGCACATTCGAAGGCGCCACAATCGCCTGCTGAGTGAGTGCCGTCGGGTGTCCCGTCAAAGCCAGCCTCGCCACCAGTCCGCCAGGCGGGTGAGACATGCTGGCTAGCACCTGGTTACACAAGCGGGCGCTCTGCAGTGTCGGTGTGACAGAGGAACTGAGCTGTGTGCCGGAACCCCATGGTAGGCGGGAGATGAGCCCGGTGAGGGTGTAGAAAGGGAGTCGCCAGTTTCCGGTGACTGCACACCGTAGCCTAGCACACACCAGCACTGATGTTTCCCCGGAGCAGGAAGGGGGCCCAGGGAAAAGCCCGCGGGTGGAAATGGGGCAGGAACAGTAACAACACACAGGCCCGGATTAAATCGGTTCTTTATGTTTACAACCCATAACCCAGAGCCTTGACAACATTTCATGGAGGCATCAAGGACACGGAGCTCCTTAGCATACACACCCCTCCCCTTCGCTCCAGACCGTCACTCCACCACCTAGACTAAATAACATACACTCTCAATTTAAAAAAGCTAAACAAAATAAAATAACTCCCAGTGCAGAGTTCTGGAAAGAATTCCTAAAAACAAACAAACAAACAAACAAACAAACAAAAAACCGTCCCGACATCAGGCATCACTGAGAATTAGTTTGGTTCATTTTGCAAAGGAAGCTGCACCCAGGAAAGGGGGAGGTAGGGCAACATGAGGTTTCCAGGCCAGCGGGCTGCCTCACAGCCCCTCCCGCCAGCTCCGAGCCGGTCACGTCACCCCACGCTGGTTCCCAGGGCCCTGGGGGCGCCGGTGGCGCCGGGCTGAGCCCAGGGAACAGCCGCCTGGGGAGGGCGAAGCCGCTACGGCCGGAGCTCCCGGTCCGGCTTCATGCTGAAGGGCTCCAGCCGCTCGCCCTCGGGCAGCATGCTGTTGAGCCTCTCCATCAGGGGCACAGTCTGGTCGATGCCCATCTGGATGCGGCGGAGGATGGCGGACATCTCGTTGACTTTCTGGATCTGCTCCGCGTACTTGGCATACCTTTTCTGGCGCTCTTGCATGAAGCTGAAGAGAGTTTCTACCGAAAGGTCCATCTGTAGAAGGAAAGGGAGTGAAGTGCATGAATCTAGTCAAGCCTGGCAGTCCGCGCTCGGCAGGAGGCACAGAGTCCCTCGGATCAGGTGGGAGGCGGCGAGCTTTAGGGGGAGCAAGTGCTGGGATTGAAAAACCCCAGAGCCATCGTTAGAGGGAGACTGAGAGATGACTGTCTCGGCTCTGTGTGTTGGGAACACGAGCCATTTTGTACCTTGCTGAGGCCCTGGGATTTCTATCTCGATCCCTCTACATGAAAGAATCCTGGCCTCAGAAATCAGACAGGCCAGGGTCTGACGCTGGCTCTGCCACGTGGGTTGATAATAATCACGCTTTCTATCTCAAGGTCTCCATCTGCAAGCAACAGAACAAACTGAGGAGCTGCAGGCTGCTGTGAGGATGCAATAACACCTGCAAACATGAGCAGCACAGGACCTGGTGCTGTAAACCCCACTCTTCATTCCCCCTCTCTTCCCTGGTGGCTTTCCCTCCAGGACCAAAATGCCAACCACAGCTCAAGTCCATGGCCTCATATCCTCTCTCCCAGTTAAACAAACTTGATGCTCCGGGCTCCCTTCTGTGACCTCTTTTCTTCCCCTCGTGAAGTTCTTTGGAACCTGCCATGCGGATAAAGCAGGGGGAGGTAACCTCTAGCATGTCCGGTGCCTGTACCCCCTCCTGTGAACAGACCCCACATCCTCTCCCTCCCATTTTCCTCCCCCAACCAGTGAAGAAACATTATCAAAGGCTCACACAGCTATCCCAGAGTTCAAGTGCTACGGCTGCCCCTCTCATCTTCCCCCCCAACCACAATCGTGCCAAGTGCTGGCATTCCATCAAGTTATCACAGAGCCTCTGCAAATGGTGTGACCAAAACAGGACTAACTAGCTAGCTAACCGACATAGAAGAGACCAAAGCTAACCCCAACAAAAAGGAACCAGTTCTGTTTTCACACTGTCTGTGGACAGAGGGATGGGGTCAGAACTCAGTGCTTGATTTCTGGGTTGGTTCCTCCTTCGTTCTGCAATGCCGAGGGCAGTGGTCGGCAAACCACATGCGGCTCTTTGGCTCCTTGAGTGTGGCTCTTCCACAAAATACCATGTGTGGGTGCGCACGTACAGTGTGACTGAAGCTCCATGGCCCATGCGCAGAAGTTGGTTTTCGGCTCTCAAAAGAAATTTCAATCGTTGAACTGTTGATATTTGGCTCTGTTGACGAATGAGTTTGCCGACCACTGGCCCAGGGGACAAAAAGACATCTAGTGGGAGGGGGTACAAGGAGAAAACAACAGAACAAAAACCATCTGAGTGGGAAACTCCAAATAATGTGGCGACAGTTTATACTCTCAGAGGGTTCTGTGCGACCCCGTTCAGTCACTCAGCACTCTGGAGGCAGGAGCTGGTAAGTTCCCGCGCTCATGACAGTCACCGCCAGGCCTTTCCACGGCGGCGATTTAGTCCAGCACCTAGGCCCACTCCACTTCTGAGCGGCAGGAAGATGGGGGAGCCGGCTGGAATCCTCATAAGAACCAGCGGGTCACAGGGCAGCCTGCTCAAGAATCCAGGACCCTCTCAGGTTATCGCTTTTCACTCGACAGGGGCTTCCCATCCCCCAACTCCCAATCAACAGAGGAGACAGGCACATGAGGAGTTTATCACATCTAAGGCCCTTGGCAATCAGCCCATTCCCCGATATTTACTTGATCAGTTTTTACAACCATTTTAGCAAGGTGTTCGCTCAATAGGATAGACATCCCTACACATTTGCGCACCCAGATAGGTCCTATGTTTAATGTAACCACAGCTTTAGCTCAGAGCCACATCATATTTCATGCTTAGGTGAGAACACATCACTCAAGCATGCTATTCATACATGCTTACAGTTTGGCTTTCAGGAGCCAACTGCCTAACAGTCCACGGAAGTAAAAAACAACTTAAGGTTGAGTGACCTCCAAGGTCTCAGAATGACAGAACCAAGCCTAGAACTCAGATCTCCTCCGTCCAGCATCTTCCTTTTACACGTATTTCACAAGAGAGTGCCCCACTAGTGTACATGAGATTGTGGTTGGCACGTGAAATTTCAGTTGGTACATGGCCTGGTATTGAACAACGTCAAAGTACATGATGGGAAAAAGTCATTGCCTTTTAAATCCTTTCCTATTCTTTCTGATCGCTATGGTAAAGTCTCAATTTGGTGCAAAGTTAAGAGTTTAATATCTAGAAAAGTATAGTAAAATTGGTGATACCCATTTCTCATGTCCTTTTCTTTCTTGAGGCAACCCTGTTCCTGATCCCTCATCCTTGTCCCTATCTTTGTACGGTCCATGACCCCAGTACAGACTTATTCTAGCACAGCTGACGTGACATCAGGCAATGAAGTCACTATCGAATGCAATCCTGGATCTTACCATTGTGACAATCTGGAACTTTTGTTACTCACCTTTCCTATATCTACTTTTGGAACAAAGATTTTAGAAGCATAAACAGACATGTGTTGAGTACTGTAGGTGAACATGCAAGGTCATATGGGTGTAGATACTGAGAACCAAAACTGTTCACACCCACACAGCTTACTGTGTACAGTAACATGACGTTTTGTTTCCACTGTCTTTGTTAACATAACTTTACTATTCCAGGAAACTCAGGCTCAGGAAGAGAAATGTTGCAAAAAGTTTGTTTCAGGAACTTCCAGAAACACCATTTAAATGTAATAAAAAAAAAAAAAAGATTTTCCAATACAGAGAATGCCTGTTTATTCTCCACAACCCTTGCCTTAAAATCCTTGCTTTGCTGTGACTAAGTTCTAGTCAGTGGACATATGTGTGGAAGTTGCCTGTGCAGCTGTTAGCTGGCACTCTCTGTGCTCTCCTCCTCCTCTTCATCCCTTCCTCTCTCTGCTGTTGTCTGAATGTGAATGCAGCCCCCTTAGACCACAAGAATAACTAAGGTCAAATCACTGGGTTGGCAGAGCAGGAAGCTAGAGAAGTCTGGGTCCATGAGGTTTGTGGCTGAGAGTAGTACCAGGCATGGGAGAGAAGCATAAACTTCAATTCCAGATAAGCCACTGTAATTTTGGGTCTCTGTAACAGCAGCTGAATTTAATCTTTAACTGATAAAAATGAATGAGGTAAAGTTCTTGTCCTCAAGGAACCGAATATTTACTCTCAAACTCATACTTTAAACCTTGTCCTACATATTAATTTTTTTTAAATTTTTTTTTTGTGTGTGTATGTGGCAGTACATTTCAAAGGACAGGTGGAAAATGAGGTGGGTATATCTGTGGGCTTTACCAAAACATTAGATCTCTGCAGAATGTGCTCAAATTTGTTCCCTACATGGATGGGGCAGCCTATTTGCCCACCTGGTCAGTCCACTGCTGGATATGGATTCAAAATATCAGCAAATCAAATCCAGCAACATACGAAAGGATAATGCACCCTAACCAAGTGAGGCTTAACTCAAGGATGCATACTTTTGCAGCATCTGGCAATCAAAGTAATCTGCTATTTCAACAGAACAAAGATTAAAAATCATATAATCACTTCAATAGATGCAAAAAAAAAAAGCATTCAACAAATTCAAATATAAAAAATTTCAGCAAACTAGAAACAGAAGAACAGTCCTCAATTGATAACGGGCATCTATAAAAACTACAGTTAGTGTGAGAGACACTTTCCCCCCTAAGATCAGGAACAAGGATGTTCACTCCCATCACTTCTATTCAGCATGGTACCAGAGGTAAGAAATTTATTTATTTATTTATTTATTTATTTATTTTTAAATATATTTTATTGATATTTTACAGAGAGGAGGAAGGGAGAGAGATAGAGAGCTAGAAACGTCGATGAGAGAGAAACATCGACCAGCTGCCTCTTGCACACCCCCCACCGGGGATATGCCTGCAACCATCGTACATGCCCTTGACCGGAATCGAACCTGGGACCTTTCAGTCCGCAGACCGACGCTCTACCACTGAGCCAAACCGGTTTCGGCGAGAGGTAAGAAATTTAATAAATAAGGGCAGGAAAAAGGCTGACGTTTTGAGGCATCCAAATAGACACACTGTATCTCTGTTGTTATGACTCATCTCTACTGCACCAGCTTCAAGGCTTTCAGTCACTCAGATGACAGTTCACCATTGTGCGTTTCTGCTGACACGTTTTATTTGTGTTCTGAGTTTCTGCTGCTGAAAAATCTTACAACAGAGTCCAATTACTCAGCCCAGAGTTTCCTGACAGAAACACAGAAACACTTCACACTACATAATAACTGAAATCACTACTGGCCTTCCTTTTGTTTTATGTTCAGCCATGACAATGAGTAACTATTACCACTGTTTGGTGTTTCCCAACATGGAAAAATATAAATATTTATAATGAACGTGCATGTGTATTAAAAAAAAAACATTTTGAAAGCAGAGAGAAGAGCTTTTGTACCTTCTCCAGCTTAAAATTCTTTGTTACATAAAATTTCCCAATAAAGTAAGCTTTGATGCTGGTTTGGGACAGGTGGGCCCGATGGAAGATGTCTACATGCTTAATGAGATTTCCTTTTCAAACTAAAGGTCATCTCTTCAAAGTAGTGACATATTTCACAAGGGCCTATAGCTTTACTAGTAAGTTAGAAAAGATGCATGGTTCAACAATAAGAGAGCCTCATATAGATATTGTATAAGATGGCCAAAAATAAGTTTAATAACTTTCTTATGGGTCAAAAGAAAAACGAACAGGTAAACTGTGTTCCACAGTTAACAAAATTCAAGTCTATATGATCAGTAGATTGTTGTGTTTTCTATCCCTACATTACTTACGTTTACAAGAAATATTAAAAACAAAAAAGAATGCTTAAGAATTTAAGGAGACTATGTTAAAAAAAAAATCACACACCTTTATATCCTTAAAAGCAGTGTCCAGTTTTCAATGTGATGTCGCTCAGTTAACTTAAGCTTCAGGGTCAGCTTTTATTTGATCTCAAAAGATAGTTCACTTGCTCTGTGTTCATT